CACTCATGGCCATTTTAGGGTCATCATTCTATTCCCAAATATCTCAGTGATTGGCATTTTTGATTGATTCTATGTACAATGGAATGGAATGTGCACCATACTGCATTAAGTATGGCTGCCTTTTGTCTTGTTTGTTATTAGCCAAATTTAATCAGATTTCATTACATGGATATTTATATTTTAGGGATAGATAGTATAAGTTTATTTTGGAATTTGTGTGTATCAAACAGGTCAGTGCTTATATTCTTGGAGAATACAGCCACCTTTTGGCTAGGCGGCCTGGGTGTAGTCCAAAAGAAATCTTTAGCATCCTGCATGAGAAGCTTCCTACAGTATCGTAAGAGCCTTTAGGCATTGATTCTCTATGTTTGATCAATATTTTCTTCTCTATTAGTTTAGTATCTCATTATAATGGATATCACGTTTCAGGACAACTACCATTCCTATTCTTCTATCAGCTTATGCTAAGATCTTAATGCACACTCAGCCACCAGATCAAGAACTGCAAAATCAGATTTGGGCAATATTCACCAAGTGAGATTTAGTTTTGCATATTTTTCTCATCTATAGTCTGTTTGAAATTTGGAAATATTTGTTTTTTTTGTCATCAATAGAATGTGATTTGCTTACATTTTTGTAATTGTTAACTCAGATATGAGAGTTGCATTGATGCGGAGATACAACAACGAGCTGTTGAATATTTTGCATTGAGTCGGAAAGGTGCTGCTCTAATGGATATATTGGCTGAAATGCCTAAATTTCCTGAGCGTCAGGTTTGTGTACTTTGCAATATTTGTTTAGAAGCTGCCTGCTCCAGCTTTGAGTTGGAGGCAATCCATGTATAATCTTGATTCAAGTGATGGTTAAGCCATGCTCTTGTTCTCAATTTACAGTCTTCATTGATCAAAAAGGCAGAAGATGCTGAGGTTGACACTGCAGAGCAAAGTGCTATCAAGTTGCGTGCTCAGCAGCAAACATCAAATGCTTTAGTTGTAACTGATCAACGCCCTGCTAATGGGGCACCACCACCAGTTCCTGTTGGCCAGCTTAGTCTTGTAAAGGTGCCCAGCATGATTACTACTGAGGTTAGTTCTTTTGGAATCGTAGTGGCTACTTGTTTTCTAGGTTTTTGATATACTAGTTGCTATTGTCACATACGTTGGACATGAATACTTATTTATTTATTTATTTTTAAATAATAATTATAAATTAATCGTATAGTTGCATATATTGTTTACTAATAACTGAAATTTACATATTACCATAAACTTGCATTATCATGTATGTATTGTTTACATTGAATTAGAATTCTGACTTATAAATTGGATAGATCTTATTAATCAAATAATTCATTTAATGAAAGTCTTTTAATGGTAGAATTTTTATTTTAAAAATTGGATAAATTTTATTAATATTTTTAATATAAAAAATTTAAAATGACAATTTAGAAATATAATGAACAAAAATGTTTGTTTTTGTCAGTTCAAAAATTTTCAATATCTGTGCTTGTATATTTTATATATATATATATATATATATATATAGACACACACACACACACACACACACACATATTTATGTGTACCTTTTGTTTTAAGTCTAATTTGCACTAATATACATTTGATTATCTTGGCAGGATCGTAATTTAACAGTCCAAGCTTCTTCTCAGGATAATGGTACTCTAAGCAAAGTCGATCCACAACCTCCTTCAGCAGATCTCCTTGGTGATCTTTTGGGTCCATTGGCTATTGAAGGCCCTCCTGGTGCTACTGTTCCATCTGAGCACAATGCAGTCTCTGGATTGGAAGGTGCTGCAGAGGCAGTGGATGGTTCAGCCATTGTGCCTGTAGAAGTGGAGACAAATACAGTTAAGGTACTGCTTTCCTAAAACAAATTAAAAAGTTTGGTCATTGTAAAATCATGCGATTGTAATTAGTTTTACATTTACTAGTTGATTTTACTACTTGCATCTGCAGCCAATAGGAAATATTGCTGAAAGATTTCATGCTTTATGCCTAAAAGATAGTGGCGTTTTATACGAGGATCCTTACATTCAGGTACAAACATTTTACTTCTCATGTTCTGTAGTTTTTGTTATCTGCTAGTTTCTATTATTTCCTCAGGTTATACTCTAGGCTAATATTTTAGTTTTTCAAGTTGGTTTTATGACTCTTCTAGAAGCTTCCAAAAGGTTGATGGTGATTTTCTCACTAAACATTACTTCAGATTGGCATTAAAGCTGAGTGGCGCGCTCATCATGGACGTCTTGTTCTTTTCTTGGGAAACAAGAATACAGCTCCTCTCATTTCAGTTCAGGCTCTGATATTGCCTCCTGGTCATCTGAAGATGGAACTCTCATTAGTGCCTGAAACTATTCCTCCTCGAGCACAGGTGAAAAGGACTAATTGTGCTTGTATCTAGTTATTGTTTAATGTTTATTGATGAATTTTTGGTCATCTCATTCTTTCATTTTCTTTTGTAGTATCATATTTATTGTTTTTTTCATGGTTCATGTAGGTGCAATGTCCGCTTGAGGTGGTAAATCTTCGGCCAAGCCGGGATGTAGCTGTTCTTGACTACTCCTACAAGTTTGGAGCCAATATGGTACTTGCAGATACTTGATATATTATATACTGCTAAACCACCTGGAGCTGGTTAATTTTTACTATGCCAGGTATTATATTATTACCTTTTACAGGTTAACGTCAAGCTTCGTCTTCCTGCCACGTTGAATAAATTTCTTCAGCCTATACCGGTTTCTGCTGAGGAGTTTTTCCCCCAATGGAGATCACTTTCAGGACCACCGCTGAAGCTTCAAGAAGTTGTATGTGTACCTCCTGTTTTACATATCTATTTTTTTTTGGTAGGGGGAGATATGAACTGTTTCATCCTTTAGCCTTAAGTATACTTTGCTATAAGTGGGTTAGTAGTCCTCATCTTTATTTATTTTTTATTGGAGAGTGCAATACCAAGTTTCATATAGTTAGACACACCACACCTAGGTGTGCGTAATAGTGTAAACAGCCCTTATTTAATGAGGTGTGCGTAATAGCGTAAACAGCCCTTATTTAATGAGTCTTGTTCTGTGCCTTTTAGTTCATATCATCATTTACAGACCTCTTCATTTTCACTGCTGGACTCCCTGATTGATTTGTGGCTGCTGGCTCCAACTTGTGCAGGTTAGAGGTGTAAGACCGATGCCTCTTTCAGAAATGGCAAATCTACTCAACAGTTTCCGGCTAATGATTTCTCCAGGGCTTGTAAGTCCTTCCATTTGGTTAACCTCTTTTGCCATTTGTATAAGGCATTGTTCACCAATCAATTTTCTGTTTCAGGATCCAAACCCAAATAATCTAGTTGTATGCACAACCTTCTACTCAGAGAATACGCATGCTATCCTCTGCTTGGTAAGAAATATATTCTGGTCGAGCTATATGGCTGTTCTGTTGTAATGGTGAAGCTTGGTGGTAAATTTGAACGACATGATGACACTCGTGAAACCCTTATGCTACTTCCCCTTGTTTGATAGTTGTTTGATCTGTTTGGTTTGTGTTGCATATATATATTCTGTATATCTATGAGCTTGTAGTGCATTAGAATCTGGGGAAGCTCGCTGCTTACAATCCGGTTCTTAATATTCAGGTCAGAATCGAAACAGATCCAGCGGACAGAACCCAGTTGCGTATGACACTTGCTTCAGGCGATCCTACATTAACATTTGAGTATGTAGCTAAACTTCACACAAAGAAGTCAATTTAATTGGATTGCCAGAGTTTTCTTATATTTGATCTACAGGTTGAAGGAATTCATCAAGGAACAATTGGTTAGCATTCCTATGGTTCCTCGGGCACCAGCAGCAGCACCACCAGCGCCTCCTGCAGCTCAACTGACCCCACAAATACCGGCAAATGATCCTGCCGCTCTACTAGCTGGTTTGCTATGATGAAATGAAGATGACAAGATTTGTTCATTATACAGTTTATAAACCTTGATTTATACAGCTGGCCCACCCACTTTTGCCCCCTCAAATTAAGAGGTGTATATGGAAAATTGCTGATGCAAGGGCTGGCGGGATCACAGATGAGCTAAATATGTTGTCGGCTTAGTGAAGAAGGGTTGGTCGGGATTTTGGGATTCTTTCTGCTCAACAATATTGTGCCTTGTGGAGCCTTTTTTTTTTTTTTTGTCTTTTTTAAAAGTTCTTATGGGGAATGAGGGGGTTTTTTTTTTTCTTCATTTTTTTTCCATTTTCCTGTTTCTTCCCAGCTTTAGCAGATTGGTTTCTTTAGTACGATGTCTTAGCATGCAAGATATGGTATGAAGGTAGGATCGGTGATAACAATGTATTCGTTTGTCAATCCAATATATTTAATAAGATAAAAGTACAGTGGAGGAAAAGAGGACATGTCAAATTTGGTCACATATGTAGTTTTGATTTTTTTTTTTTATTCATTTTCAATTTTGGTGCTTCTACCCAGGTCAAATCCAAAAGGAAAGCCGACATTCGATATTACCAAGCATCAAAATCAGTGAGCATAAAGGAAGAAAATTTACCGTTCATTCATAATTTTTCTTATTAAAAACCTTTTATATGATTGAAAATGATTACCACCTGGCAAAAGCTTGTGCCATCAACAGTGAGATATCCGTGGGAAGAGCTCATCCTACTACTTTCTGCCTTCTTAATTGGTTAAAATAATAATAAAAATTCCCGAAGTTCATTACTTTATTTAAATTAAATTTATGTTTATTATATTTAAATAAATTTTAATTTTTACTTTACATTTAAATAAAATTTTAAACTTTAATTTATATTTAAATAAATATTTGACTTTTAATTTGTACTTAAATAAATTTTTGATATTTGAAATAAAAGTTTATCTGAATACGAATTAAAAATATATATTTATCTAAATATAATAAAAATATAAAAATTTATCTAAATAAATTAATAAAATTTAAGAGTTCTCATATTTTAACCTTCCCAATACGAAAAAAAAAAAAAAAAAAACCTGTCCGTTCGAAGTAACTAGATATTGAGTTAAATCATTCCATTGATCTCTAATCTTTCTCCCACTTCGTACCGTTGAACGGCCCAAATGTGACCCTCTTATTTGGTCTTTGCTGCAAGCTAAGATTATAGCATGGCCTGGGCCATGGAGAGCAAGAGGCCTAAAGGACGAAGAAGAAAAGCAATAGATGAAACTGGAACCATTGAGGCAGTGAACCATAGCCCTATGCGACTACATGAACAGTCCTAAAAACAAGAAACTAGAATGTAGATAGAGGGAAAAAAAGAAAACATTTTATTTACACTTTTTTTTATTAATTTTACTTATAATTTTTTTATTATAATTTTATAATTATTTAATTATAATAAAAAAAATTATATAATAATTTAGTATGAGCTCGAATAAAATTTTTATAAACATCGTATAATTTTAAATTATAATTAATTAATTATAATACAATAATGTTAGGTGATATTGAATTATAATATCTTAAATCCTAGTTTATCATAAAAATTGGGACAATTCTGGGATTTTAACTTAATACAAAAATAGTGCCAATCAGATAGAAGATAAGCTCAAGAAAAAACTTGCTTACCTTTCAAGATCCAAGTAATATCTCTTAATCTTGTGGTGTCTTTGCCATAGAATCGATGTCCAAAGCAATTCATCCAAAATTACTTGCTCTTCACCAAACCATCTGAGCCAAACGATTGGAATGGTTATGGTCTTAGGTTTTTTCCTTTTGGTTCTAAAAGAGCACACTGATCCGATCAGAGGAAAGAGGTCTGAGGGAGTATCAACAAAAAAGCCACTGCAAAAAATGCAGTAGCTTCTTAGCGTCGAGAAACTCCAGCAACGGGGGGCATTGGGACTTGTTTTCCACCATCAATGCGGAACATCAATGACCAGTGTGGTAATAAAAACTTGTCACCAGTGGCTCACGTTGCCTCCCTCTAACAATTAAACGAACCGGTACAGAAGATAATCTCGAACCTTACAAAACATTGAGCCAACTAGCGCCATTCTCGGCACCGGCCACACCTCCAGCTGCCTTCTGATGATGAAGACTCATCCCAAGGAGAACAATGACTGTGCATCAAAAAGCCACAAATCTCACAATGAAGGTCAGGGGCAGGTTCATACTGTAGACACACATGACAATGCAGTGCATTAACATCAGAATTCATGGGTTCGGCTTGATTATTAAAAGTATCAATTCCACATTGTTTAGGGAATCCATCCTGTGAAATTGAACAAGATGCATTTTCCCAGTTTCCTGACCCATCACCCGTTGCATCATTTCCATTAACTTGATCACCATTATCAGATGCTAGCAGCTCACTAAAAGAGAAATAAGTCTGTGGTTCAAACTCCATATCCTTATTGTTAAGACTTTCATAATCCAGCAGCTTGCCTTCAAGGATATCACCATAAGCATTCCATTCTGCAAAAACGATAGATGAGTCCTCCTTTGGCTCCACAGAATCATTAGGTTCAGGACATGTCAATATTTCAACTTGACCAAGATCAGACCCAGCAAGACCATCCACCTCTCCTTCCCGCTTCACATACCTTCTGACTGGTAATTTCTGTAGCCCAGGGCCAGAAGCAGTATTCAACTCAACATCCACTTCTGAATTGTTATCTGTTATTTGCTCAACTTTTGTAAGGGTGAAAAGAAGAGGATCATTAGCCAGTACAAGCTCATCCTCTGTAGAAATTATAGGAGTGATGGGATTACACTCTTTGAAGTCAGAAATAGTTCCAAAATCAGAGTCCAATACTATGCTTCCTTGTCCCTGTTTCTGTGGCTTTCCAAATTGTTTCTTGCGTTTTTGCTCTCTAAGTTCAGGGTCCATGAAAGGACAATCAGGTCCTCTTATCCTTCGACACTTGCAACATTTGAATCCAACCACATTAGAAATCCTAGACTCCTCAAGTTCAACAGCTTCAGCATGATACCACTCTGCAAAAAAATAAAAAAAGCAGACATTCATCATAAACAAAAAATAAAAGAATATTTAAAAAAAAAAAATGAAACTAATGGTCTACATCGTACTTCTGCAAGTTTCACAGTGAATATACATTAGATCAGAATTATAGGGTTGTTCACACAGCTCACAAATAGGCTTCAAAGAGTGGTAATGTGAACCACCGCTTGTGAGAATGTTTGCACGCCTGAAGTCAATTCCAGTTTCATCACTGTTCTTTTTCCTCCATATGACCCCCCAATTACACTTCCTTTGCTTCGTCGCAAAGCCAGAAAGAGAAGCAGGTTTCTTTGTATCAGAACTTCTTTCCTGAATTCTGACAGAATTTTCCTTACTTCTGACATAGGCCAGTGATTTCATGGGTTGAATAGAACTTTTAACTTGCATGCCTTTGGAGACTGCTGGTGCACTGTGACAGTCTCGTCCTTGCAAGTGCAACAAAGTGGTAGGAGACTTGGTATTGATTTCATTTTGAGCAAGAGCTTTGGCACGGTAACACTGCTTGCAAATGATGAAGCACTTAACTTTCCCATTCATATGCGAGCTTAAAGTACAGTCCTGATGACAATAACCTGATCACAAATGACAAAACAAAGTTATTCAGACAGACATTCAAACATAAATCTAACTCAGCAATGATAAACATGCCCCCACAAAGAAAATGGCAAACTGCATCCATTCCTGGTGGGTTGCTGATTTTTGTTGCAAAAATGTTGATATACGACTCAGATGCCTTTATCTCTCCCATTTTCATTTTTTGAAATAAATTGGTTTGGATGGCCATCTAGTTGACCCAATAAGAGTCAGATTTAGGTTTATCACTTTAGATCCAGTCCAACCAAACAATTAATGAAATGATAATTAATTATGAACCATCAAAAGCAGCTTTCTGTCAGGTTTCAATTATCACCAATTAATATCTTTTCCCCTCAATCCAAATTTTGCAAGAAAGGAACAATTTCACTTTGTCAGAACCATAGGGTCAAATCACCAAATCGCTCAAATCGATCCATTGCTAGTAAAGTTACAAGAAAGTTTTAAGAAAGTTCAAATTTCAGGTTTTTATTTTTTAACTCCACTCAGATATTGCTTTTAAGATTCATTTATCATTCAGTTATTGTAAGATTTTTATGTTTAAAGCCTATCCATATTATTTAACAGGATGATCACTTATACACTCCAATATTAGAGGAAATTCTCCTTATAATATTATTTATCCGCCGAGATTATTTCACTTCGTGGAAAAATGTAAATCTAAACCAAAACTGCTGGCAGCACATCTCTCGAATATGCAAAGTACAAAATTCCTATCATGCACATGGAAAATGAAGATAGAATGCAAATATCAAAAGTCAATTATGTACTAGCAAACAATTGAAGACCTATAAATAATGAGACCCTACCTAACTTGACCTTTCTCCTAGATTACCTATAACAGAATGGATCGTCTTTTTTAGTTATAAGTTAACTGCACTAATATTAAACAGTACAACTGGATAATCAATAGGCAGACAGGCCAGCAAGCTACATGAAGCTGTGAACTTAATTCTCATATATAGATGCTGAAAATTATTAGAAGAGATGATTTTTGGAAACCCCTGACATAAAATTGGGAAATATTCTCTCAGTAGAAGTTCTACAGAGTGGTTAGCATACCTTGGCATGTGCCACACTTGACCGCATTCCTGACGATTGCATAACAGAAATTATAAATAAGCTTAGAGCAAGAACGTGGAGGAAATGGGAATTTCAATATCAACAAAAATAATATATGACAACAATATAAGATAATTACCTCAGTAAAACATCCATTTGACATGAAGCACAAGAGCACTTCTCCAACTTATCTCTCTTACACGTCAGATAAGTAAATATATTCCTACGGGAAGCTTTCAACTGCCTTCTTTGTAAGTCAGATAACTCACTGAAAGGCTTCTTAACTGATGGCAAAACCACAGTACTCATTCTTTCTTCATATTCTTTGATCAAATATAAAGGTATGTGTGCTACAAGAAACCAATATTTCTCTTTTTTGTCTTCAGTTTGCTCAATGTCAATTATATTCTTCATGACACGTGAAGGAAGATGCTTTTGATTTCTGAAAGCAACTCCATATTGGATCTTGCTTTCCACAATTTTCTTATCATAGATAATTGCATTTCTAAAAATAGATGCTTCTGTCTCTGTACCTTTTCCGTCTGGGATGTTATGCTCAGGACGAACAAGATCATTCCATCTCACATGAAGGTCTAGGTATCTAACCTGAACCAAAGTCCAATCAATACTGTTAAACTTCCAGACAATCCAGTATGCCGTTGGATACAGTTTTGCAAGGAATGGTTCATTCAAAAATAGTAATTGAAAAACAAACCTGAAGTGCAAGCTGCGCCGTATTCTTACTCCTTTCAACTGCATTTCTCCAAATTAATTGTCTGCTTCTTTTAGGAATCTCAGATTCGTCAACATAATTAATACCAGAAATCTTTCTCACACCACCTAATAAATTACAAAGCAATAACTCTATTACTCTCTTTACTTTCATCAATTTTACGATTACAAAATAGCAAACTAAACTTTCTGTATTTTATAGACACAAAGATACCTTGTCGTGCAGCTTTTCTGACCATTGAACGAGGCAAAATTGCTTTCTGGAATACATTAGTTGATAACTTCCCTCCACGCCACCAATCAAAACTTTTATCATTGCTGTCATTGGCTGTAACTTCAGATACAACAGACTGTTTCCTTTGACATCTTCCACCTGGTCCACGTTTCTGTGGCAATCCCACAGTGGATGAAGTGCTTTGAATCACAGAAGGTTCTACTAACCAATCATCCATTAGCTTGATCCAGTCCGCAGAAAGAGAAATAATGGAAATGTTCTCCTCAAGCTGAAAATAGAAACCAAAAACCACATCAACCAAAATATAGAGAATATATGCCTGATGATGAATCCATACAGTGTATCTTACTATCTACTACATCAGGAACCGGAGTAATGAATCATACAGCAAATAAATTCTTATCAAATTTCATGCATTAGCTTACTACTACAAATAACATGTTACAAGGTCATGAGCTACAAGAAAGTCTAAATTACTAATTGGAAAATGGAAGCTAAAGGATGTTATATAAATGTTTTAAGTTTTAACAACAAAAGATGAATTGAGACAAAATGAGACAGCAAAAAATGAAGAGGGAGCAAAATAATTTAACATATCTCTGGACTTCTTAAACTCTTAGAAGTTGAAAAGTGAACAACAGTGAGGACATGCTAGGCTAGGCGTGAAACAAGCATGTTTTGCAAAGAAGAAATAAATGATAACATTCATAAAAATATCATAATCATGATAATCTATTAAGCCAAAGTTTAAGTTAGTAAGAAAACGATAGTTATGATCTAATAATCCACAAAGGAAAAGTAAATAAACTCACATGTTCCACATCAGTTAAGTTCTAAAATAATCCAAAATTTTAAAGCGTAACGTAAAGATAATTGGTAAAAAATAACAATTATAGGTGAAGGTGACAAGTTCTAAGTTGACAGTAAGCCAGGAAAATCTTGACCAGAGAAAGGGGAAAACTCAAGATAAAGTTATTTTAACAGATAAGTATGAACTATGAAGGAAATTAATGAATAAATTTGCAAAACTCACATCAAGCAAGAGGACTTTTATTGCATCACAGGTTGAAGCTTCTTCCACTTTTCTACGCCATTGTTTCCTATAATCTGGGCTTAAGAAGGAGCCAGCTACAAGACCACGTAAACTCTCCTCCATGTATAAAACATATGTTGCAATGCTAGGAAGACTACCCTCTCCACTCTTTAAAGGAGGAAAGCCAACAAGGATTTTATTGACACTTTTAGTGGCAGTGGAGACAGCAGAATTCAACATGCATCCTTTCTTGCTTGAAGCGGAGGCCCTGCAAGAATGACACCAACCACACCTTTCCCTCGGAACATCCAACAACTTCTTTTCAGCACTTGGCCAGAAAAATCGTGAGGCTGATGATGAGAAAGCTTTTACTTGAAGGAAGATGTTACTTGTAGATGTAAATTTTCTGGCACTGCTTGATTTGTTTGCCTCAGAAATGTGACTTTCCTCCGATGAAAGAACAGCCAGCTTAGCAGCTGCCGTTGCAGCTAAATGCCCATGAATATAGTGATTTACATAAGCATTTGGTTTAAAAGAAATCCCCATGTATGCATGGTCAATTGTAGGATTTCTTGCATCCCGTCCAAAACCCACATGATTGCCTGCTTTGCTCTGGCAAAACATAGTTGCCAGTCCACCATTACTGTCACTACTGTTTCCTGAGGCAAATGAAGTATGACCTATCAAACTTGATCTGTCAACTAAGCTTTGGTAGGTTACATCGGACACAGCTTGCTGGCTAACTGAAGCAGAAGACATGGCAGACTCAATATAAATCTGCTCAGATTGGTTCTCATTCGTTGGAGGATGATCCTTCGCTCCATTTTTCCCACCATTCCTCAGAGAGCCAGGAGGGTCAGTTTGGTTCATTGCATCCAGAGAGGTATCTGGATACGAAAGTCCTACATTGTCCACATTGCTTCCACTGAAACTACTAGCAGTCTCAGCATCAACTGAATCCAAAAATTTATGACTTCCCTTTCCAGAAGGCAGAGGTGATTCAGAAGAAAATTTTGCATCTTCCTTCACATTCGCTACGTTGCCACCGATTTCGAGTGGAGAGAAAATATTTTCTGAGATTTTCCAATAGTGTATAATTGCTTTGCATATATCAAAGTATAATGTTCTATGTTGAATGGATGAAGAAAGCACCTGGAGGATTTTTGGGATGTCATTCGGATTGTAGTATCTGAGATATGATTCAGTGCCAGGGGAAGCCATCAACCTGCAATTATCAAATTTGAAATTGCAAACACAAATTTAGAACACATTGGAATTTGGATAGCTAATCAGAAAAAAAGGAGGCATCATTGTCATGCATATCAGCAAATGAGCAACTTAAGTCAAAGGCTGGAGAAACACAAACAAGCAACTTGACATGATGAAACTCTGTTCAAATGAGACAGTTAAATAATAGAAGAAACATAATCAGAGAACAATTTCAAATCAAAGACAAGACTGTGTTTAACAGTCAGATACCACTCAGAAGAAAGGTTGACTAGACAAACAGAAAATGTTACTAGTGTAGAATGAGAAATAGGTTTAAAAGCTTACACTAGCAAGTGATTACAAGTACCCAAGAAGACTTGCCCATATAAATCAACACCAAAAAGTTCTGCTCCTCTAAGTGATGTGTTTATTGTGATTGCTGGTCCCATTTTATTAATTGCACATTCCGGACAATACCAGGGCCCTTCAGGTATATACATTTTCATGACACCTATACACCTCGAATGATATGCAGATGGACACCCATCACAACAAAGCAATGTCCCATCCATGCCACAAAGACGACACTCATCATTATTTCCATCTACATCAGCATCAACACCAGCATTACCTTCAGTGCTTTTCAAACCTAAAGAAAATGTTCTAGATGATGACTTGACCTCATGGCTTTCCGCAATGATCTCCATTGCCTCCCTCTCCTTGCATGCTGAAGTTTTAGAATGTCTAGGATGAACCCTTCTAGGTCCTCTTTCAGAAAGATCAGTAGCAACTGCATCAGGATCTGTTCCCACTTCCATTGCCTCACGCATGTCAATTTCAGCTCTCATCTCTGCATATTCTAATACATCATCACATAGAAGTTGTAGAACCATCAACTTTCTGATCACAGGTAAGGAATAGTACTCTCTTTTAGAGACATCTTTGTAAAATCTTTTCCACTCGGGTCCTCTTGCATATCCCATTAACATAAAATACTGGACCAAATAGACAGGCCAAGTAAGTGCATCGAGCAAGCTCCAATCCAGGCACCTGCAGATAAAGAATGTGACAATTATTTTAAATTTTTATTGATGAATTAAAGCAAGCATCTTATTTCCTTTCTTTTCTTTTTTTTTTTTTTTTGGGGGGGGGGGGGGGGGGGGGGGGGGTGTTGGCGGGAGGTATCATGTTGTCTGAAAGTTGAATCCAAATATCTGTTTTGTTTTAAAGAGAGATCAAATCCACTCTTAGTTGCTTTCAAAATGGGAGGAAAAAGTGTTCCATTATAGGAGTTTGGCAGTATTAGCTACCCAAAAAGCACACAGACATGCCATGGAGGATTGGAACATGTTTTGATTTTCTTTCAACTTTTACAAGCTCAAGGTCCACCTCACATTTTTAGCAAGGAAATATAACAGTATAGTAGATTGTGGAGAAAAACATTTTGCAATAAAGTATCCCAATCACAAAATCATCAAATAATTAAAACAATGATATTAAAACCTATTTACCTAGTGGTGTGTGAAAATGCATATATATGTATACCTCAAGCATTTTGATGCAAGCTCCGAGCCTTCTGAAGACACTGTTTCAAGATGACAACTCAATGCTCGCATCAAAGCAACATGAACAGCATCCAATAATGGGTTTGGACCACAGCAATTTAATGACCCCACAAAATCATCTAATCCAAACGGGCTTAAAAACAAAATGATGCTAAACGACCTTAGAAAACCATAAACAGAAAACAGATGTGAAACGCATTCCTCTGGCAAACCAATTGTTCCTGAAGAAGGAGGCAACATCAGGGGTGGAATAAGAGGAACCTCAGGCTCCAAAGACAAATCACTATCACGTGCATGCTCACAGGAATCGCTTGAAGAATCTGCATCATCATCTTCAACTTGCTCCCCCTCATTGTCGACCATCATTCCACCACTCAACTCACTTAAAGCTGAAGGCTCCACTCTATCAACCTCTTTTTTCAAAATCTCCACTTTCTTCTTTTCCTCCAACTCACTCTCCTTTACAGTCCTGCTTAACACTAATTCATCTAATCTAACTTTTCTTCTACTCAAATCATCATCGAAATATGACTCTTCTAAAATCAACTTGCGAAGCTCCCCACTCTCCAGATCCTCAAAATTACCATACTCATAATCTACTCTGTACAATCCGGTATCGTATGAAACAATCTTCCCTAAAAAAACATTCTTCCCAAATTGTTTCAAGACGTATCTACCTACGAGGGCCATGGATCTGGTCTCCAATGGCCACTTTTTAGTTTTGGAATTATTGAATTTCGTATCAACGGCAGTATTTTCATTTTCTTCTTCTGGTCTCCTATGTTTCCTCGGCCTACCTCTAGGCCTTGGTACCTTAGGCTCCGTTGATCGATCCATCGAGCCCTGGATTTGATCACACTAGTTTCCAAACAGCCCCCTAAGGTTTCCAGAAAATCTATTTTCTGCCGGAATAATGAACCTGTTCGGCTTCGTTTTTGAGTTTAGAGTGATCTAGGGCTCGTGAAGATCCTTCACAAAAAAAGTTATAAATAAAGATTAAATAAATCGATGATTTTAAAAAAATTATATGAAAATTCAATTTTGGAGTAAGGAACCAGAGTAATTTTATGAAAACTATCAGGAAGAATATTAGAGACATACCTGGTTAGGGTTTCATAACCGCCATGGAAACTTTCTTCGGGATTTTGGAGATTTGAGAGAGAGCGCCCTAATAGGGAAGAAGTAACAACGGCCAATTTTATCGCTTGTGAGAAAATGGGACTGACTCGGGACTAGATTTGTGAGTTAACGATTTGAACACGTCCGAGTTGGGCCGTGAAACTTATGATTTTTTTAATGGGATTTTTCCTTTTGTAGGAATAGGGGCGATATTGTGAGGACATCCTCACGGTTATGATTTACGGATGATGACACGATGGAACTTTTTGTATTCAATTTTTCTTTACTGTATTTTATTTTTCAAATTTAAATTTAAATTCTATCAACAAATTAAAATTAAAAAAAAAAAGTAAAATGATACAACATTTTCATATCAATCCATATTAAATATTTACTTATTTATTTAATCTAATTAATTATATTATGAATTTTACTTTTTACTATATTTATTTTATTTTTTTTTATGAAGTGCCAAATGCAGATATGAACTCATTTTTATTTTTTACTTTTAATAGTTACTTTTAGGTTGTAAAAGGTAAAAATTAAATGTTTTCATATACAAGTTTCATATGCTTCACACATGTATATGTGTATGGTAAAAATTTTTTTAAAAAAAACCATTATTTTAAATGAAAAATATATATGAATTTGATTCAAGTGTACATTCCTTATATTTTGTTCAATGTCTCTTTTAAATTTAATTATTTTTTCCATTTTTTTATTTTTTGGCACATAATTTTGATGGATTAAAAAACATCAAATAAAGTATTTTTACTTATATATTTTGTTAAATCTTAAAATGTTACTATAAATTTTTATTATTTTACATGTAGATTTGATAATTTGTGTATTCATATTATGTAAAATATTAATAATTCATATATTCGTATTATATTTTACATAAAAATTATGTCACGATTCGTATTAATATAAAATATAAAATATTTTTTTTGTTAAACTCATATATGATTTTTATTAAAATTTTAAATCATATTATTTTCGTAAATTTTTTCATATTATTTTGATATTTTATCATTTTATCGTATTTTAAATTATCAGATTTATTTATATGTTTAATATTATTCAAAAAAAAAATAATGACTTACATTAAAATTTATTTGAGACATCAAAACATGTGGTGTATTCTAAATTTAAAATGAGATAATTTTCTCATACTCAAATTTATCTTTAAAAAAATCTAAGCTAGCTCCATTTCTAACTAAAAGAACAAAATTCTTACTTCATCCAATACAAAATTTTGGTTTTTACTACAAAAATTGAAAAAAAAAATTTTAATGTTTTTATTTATGTTTGTCAAAAAAAAAAAAATGGTGTGAGACATGGCTTAAAATTTTTGATGATGTAATAAAAGATGTCAAAATGTACAATATCAAAAGTCAAACTAATTGCACGAAAAGCCAAATGCTCGTGTCCATACACAATCCATTCCAACTTCGCACAAAAAATACTCGTCTAAATAAAATCGTTTAATAAAAAAAAAAACGGAAATTAAACACCGAAGCAAATGATCGAATTGACTCAGTATCAACGAGGCAACTCAGAGTTAATCCTATTCATGGTTGTTCTTAATGACCCAAAGCCCCAAAGAGTTAAAAATATTTTAGCGGGATTACCCGCCAAATATATCTTTTTTAAATCTTTGATATCGGGGTGTTGGATTAATCTGTTAATGGTAACGGTCACTGTCTACGAATGTGGAGATTAATTTTTGTTAGAATGCTTGTAAATACATCACAAGAATTACTTTTCACATTTTTTTAATTATTTTTATATAAATTTATTTTAACTTTTTTTTTTACACTCTTTATCACTTTTAAATTTTTAAATTTTTAAATTTGTAAATTCAAGAAATTATACAAATTTTTGAAATTGTATATCTGTAACCTCTTAAAAATTTTCGTATTAGATCATTAAAATAAAAAAAAAATTAAAGATCTTCATGTATAATTTTTATCTATCAAATTATAAATGAGTTTATAATTATTTGAAACAATTCATATTTTTTTTAGCGTTATGAAAATTCTTTTAGATACGAGTTTTTTTTCTCAATTAATCTTTTTTTTCTAAACCATAATTTAACATTTTATTTAGTTTATCGGATATAAAAATTCACTAAATTATAAAATTTTTAGGGATTTACATATTTAAAAATTTTAAAATTGAAATGAAAAAATATAATTAAGTAATTTTATTTAAATATAATTTAAAAAACCAATAATGAATGTGGAGACAAAATGGAGATGTGATTAGGAGCAACTTTTTTAATAAGACGTTAATGATAGTAAATGATTATATATTCGATACTATGCCATTTGTTTATATTGAATTTGTATATTTATAATTAGATAATTAATGAATTTAGATAACAAGTTTATTATATGTGATGAATTTAGATATGATTCGAATAATATATTTTAAATATTATATAAATAAATTTATTTATCTTTTAATAAATAGTATCGGATATCTAAATCGATATATAAAATTATTATTTGTTTTTAATTGTAAAATTTTTTTTTTGAAGCTTAGCAAACAACATTTATTTCTTATTAATTAAAAGTAAATTTAAATTTTAAATTTAATTATTATTTATTTTATATTTTGACAAAAAAATAATAAAATATTTTAATGGATTCACATATTTATAAATAATATTTATTTAAATGGATTCGAATTTAGATAATAAAATAAAATTTAATCAAATATTTAAATAGATTAAAATATTATGAAAATTAAATAAATTTGGATACAAATACTTAAAAAATAATGAATATTCTCTATAATTAAATTAAATTATAATTTTATTAACTAATGCTTTTAAGACGTTCTCCAGAGTTTGTTAAATTATAAAACAACGTATAGCACACTTTTTTTATACCATAGAAAGAGCTCATGTGTTTGGACCAATGTCTAAGCCCATGTTATACTAATTATAAATTTTATTGTATTTTTTTTTAGTTCATAGTACAATTATTATTTAAATTCCATTCATTCATATTAAATACTACTACATGTGAAATATTGCAAATTTGATATAAGAAACAATTATCACTAATTCTTCAATGAAATTTCAAATCTATTGGCTAGTTTGGGGCTGTTCTTTAAGACTTAACCTAAATTATACCCAATTGAAACCTACAATTAACCTAAATTATTGTTTCCACTAACTCAATTAACTGAGTTTAGTGCTTATTATAAATTTAACATATTTATCTTTTTGCCAATTTTAACATATTTATTGAAAAATATAAATATTTATGAATCAAACTAAAATTGTTATATTTAATTTTGTTTTTTAATATTCTAATGCATTATAAAATTATAAATTATAATTTTTTTATTTTTAATTTATGCATCAACGGAATTTTAAATGAATAAATTTATTGATTCCCAACCATTGAATATTAAATAAAAGTGTTCGTGGGCTTTGGGCCTACTAATTCAAAGCTGGTCTGAGCTTTCCCATCATTATTTTTTTTCCAGAGCAAAAGAACAGCGAAGAAGAAGGCCGAGGACTGCTAGGTCGGCGGTTAAGTTTTGGTGGAGAATGAGTGCGGAGAAGGAATCCTCTGTTCCGCGGCGTCGCTTATCCTGTACCAAGTGCTTCGACGCACTCTGGTTTTGCTACTGTACGCCGTCTTCTATTTCCCTTAGTTACAATATCAAAGAATCTCAGTTTTCCCAGCATTTTTTTTCCCGATTTATTGGATTCATATAATATATATTTTTTGGTAATTCAATGGGCAGCTCCGGTTCATCAAATGCAACAATATTATAGAGTAGGAGTTCTTGACAATTGTTATGGAAAATGGAATGCTCTTTGGGATTGTTTGTACTTGAAAACCAAGTCCTCTTCTGAACTCCAGGTATTTTTTTCTCCCCTTTTTTTTAACATATTATAAAAATTTATTAGACTGATTCGCGTAATGAAAAAGAGATAAAGGATGTGTTTGTTATTCAAGATTATGATAGGATAAGATAATATGATATTATGAATATGATTAAATTAAATAATCTCATCTTATGTTTGATGTGTGTAAGGATTATGATAGGATAATTTATTTATCGATCAAAATTATCTTTTCTCAAAATTTATACTATTCAAATTATTAATATAGTTTTTAAAGGTATAATAAGAAATGTAAGATTAATGTTATGGATTAAAATATAATCCTTTTCACTTTGGGAGGATTGAATCATCGTATACCAAGAGGATGATTAATCATTTTTGTAATCTTATCCTTTTCTTTAGATACAAACCAAATATTATCCATCGTTCTATGCACCAAACATTACCAAAAGCTCCTGGAATTGTTATTTTTAATTGCAAATGCATTGCCAAACAAGTTACACAAGTTTGATCAAAACCCTAATTGCGGTGAATTAGTTATCAATTGCAATGCCAAACTGGGCCTTAGTTTACGATCCTAAGTGCGCGATATTTATAGATTGTATACGATGCCATAGAACTCTGAAGCATGATGAAAAAGATGTAGAAATGTCAGGTGTCAATGGTTAGTGACTGTGGAGTTAGTTTTCGAATGCTGCAAATTCATCTTTTCTATGATGAATGATGAAAAGATTCAAGATATTTAGCAAAGTTCAAAGGATTTTAACCTCAACTATGGTAACTATAAAACAAGACAAAGTGGAAAAGAAAAGATGACTAGAAATAGGGTTGTAAGCATAAAGGGGTATTGCAAAGGAACTTATGAGAGTGGGAGAGAATCATCATGACATTAGTTAAAGAGTGATGCATTTGTTGTAGATGCTAAGTGGTTGATATAATTAAGGTACACAGGATCAGAATGTAAGGAGTGTTGAAAATCTAATGCATATTTGGTTTTGAGAACTTCGGGAAGCAATTACGGTGAGAATAAGCGTTAAGTAAATGCAATTATTTTCTAGGTGAAGAGGTAAGACATCAATATTTTGCCTTGTTAAGTAGAAAAAATGAAGCCTCTGCATCCTGACGCATGTGATGGTGAAGACTGACGAGAGAGTGATATGGCCAAAACTTAAACGAGTCTGAAGGCCTAAGCTTACCTGTTATATGGAGTATATGATAGTGTTTACACTATACAATTCTTTTTTGGGGGACTAAGAAAACATGGCATTCTTTTTGTTAATGCTAAATATGGTGACATTCATGTGAATTTAACGATGGTTGAGGAGCTGTAGAGGTTTGGTGAATACTTCAGTAATTGGTTTTTCTACCTAGAAAAAACTGCAAACTGCACTTTAATTTTTACCTAGTGCTCTGTTCCAAAAGTAATGAACTAACCTGCTGAACACAGGAAATTCTGGAAGCTCGTGAGAAAGCTAAGTCCCACATTTGGACTTTTCGGACGCCTGAAGAAGCACAATCTTACTGGCAGCAGGAATTTGGACATTTAGATGATAAGGATTGACAAATGTGGAGATGCTTTAGAGCTTTCTGCAGAATTCTTTTAGCAGTATTACATCTTCATTGCTCCATCTCAAACTTTGTGTCATAGGTCTGAAATAAACTGTTATTTGTTTTTTTCCTTAAGCTTCTGTTGTTACCTGGGTTAAAAATATATGACTCTTTTTGGCAAGAAGGAGCTGTTGATGCACTGATAATCTTCTGATCTGAACTCGTGAAAAATTCAATGACAAGCAAACTGTGGTTTAAATTCTCTATTACTTTCATTTATATCAAATATTTTGATTCTTTCTGCAGCTTTATTGAATTCATTTTATAGGTTTGGGGGCATCGGAAGATTGCTTTTGTTGACTAGTTAAACGAGAATAATAACCATTGATGATAATAACCATTAAGTAGATACAAGGCCAGCCAGTGATATACTTTGCTTGATCATCATATATTAGCAAATAACCGGTAAGTTGTGGCATCAATACTTATTTGTCTAACTGCTGCAACTGCTGCTATGACTCCCACTGCTGAGAAAACCATTGTAATGGTCATATTCAACCAAAAAATGGGACTCCGCTTTGATGGCTTAAATGTCAAGCTGAAGAAAACAACAGGTAAGACGAAGTCGACGGGCAAGAAACCAAAAGCTCCAATGACTGAATTGATGTCTCCAAAAAATGGAAGCATTGCTGCAATTGTTGTTGCAATAACAACAGAAAATGATCGAGAAACTACCCTTGGGATAACATTACGCGCAGAGAACTCATTGAAATTTGGATCTGTAAATGTTGTTTCAAGCACTTCATTTGTTGGCTGCAAATAGACCTGTGACAGAAACCACATCACTGAATGAATGAACCAAATATGTGAATAATGAAAAAGATAGGGGGAAATGGAAGGAATGTTCTCACCACACCAACTGCTGATAGTTGGAGAATGGTGAAGGTATTTGTCATCAAGATGAACCATCCTGGCACCAAGGGTTTCCCATCCCCCAAGAAATTGCTGAGTACAAGACTTTGAGATTCATTGCCAAATGCCCAATAACCAGATATGGCAACAGTGAAGAAAGTCATGATAAGTACAGTGTAACAAATACATAACGCTTTGAACATCTTCCCCTTCACTGGTGGTGCAATAGTTGCCTGAAATCAAATTTATACACAAGTTTGTTACCTTTCCAGCATTACTTAAATCTGTTAGAGGAGTATCTTTGGGTCCAGAGAGCAAATTGATCTTTTTTTTCATTAGAGATTATCAGTAAATAATAATGAATATTTTTTATTTTTGGGTCACATACAGTATCACATCAATTTGATTACATCATTATTTTACTTTATAGACCTCTCACTTTTCACCTATAAATAGAATTATCTAAGTACTATCTAATTTAATATAAATTTTTCCTTTACTTTCCTATTTTTCTCTTCTTTCAACCTTCATTAGGTTACTTCTAACTTGAGAGTTGAAACACAAATGTAAGTAACATTTTTATCTTTACTCTTTAAGTGTTCTCTTTTTCTTATAATTTCAATGTGTTTACCCTCGACTCGGAGCATAAACAAAATCATTCCAAAATTTGATAGTTCAATATTGGATTTATATAATATATATTTTTTGGTAATTCAATGGGCAGCTCCTGTTCATCAAATGCAACAATATTATAGAGTAGGAGTTCTTGATAATTGTTATGGAAAATGGAATGCTATTTGGGATTGTTTGTACTTGAAAACCGAGTCCTCTTCTCAACTCCAGGTACTTTTTTTTCCTTTTTTTTACATATTATAAAAATTTATTAAACTAATTCGTGTAATGAACAAAAAGTAAAAGACGTGTTTGGTACATAAGATTATAATATGATAAAATAAAATAATATTATGAATATGATTAGATTAAATAATATCATCTTATATTGTGTTTGATGTGTGTAAGGATTATGATATGATAATTTATTTATTGGTTAAAATTATCTTTTTTTAAAATTAATTTATTTATTGATTAAAATTATCTTTTTTTTAAATTTATACAATTTAAATTTTTAATATATTTTTTAAAGGTGAGACAAGAAATGTAAGATCAATCTTATAGATTAAAAAATAATCATTTTCATTTTAAGAAGATTGAATCATCTTATACTAAGAGGATGATTAATTTTTTTTGTAATCTTATCTATTTTTTTTAATACAAACTAAATATAATATAAAATAATTATCATCCTATCATATCTATTGTTCTATCACCAAACATTACCAAAAGCTCTTAGAATTGTTATTTTTAGTTGCAAATGCATTGCCAAACAAGTTACACAAGTTTGATCAAAACCCTGATTGCGGTGAATTAGTTATCAATTGCAATGTCAAACTGGGCCTTAGTTTACGATCCGAAATCCTCGATATTTATAGATTGTATATGGTGCCATAGAAGTCTGAAGCCTCATGAAAAAGATGTAGAAATATCAGGTGTCGACGGGTAATGAGTTTGGAGTTACTTTTCGAATGCTGCAAATTCATCTTTTCTATGATGAATGATGAAAAGATTCAAGATATTTAGCAAAGTTCAAAGGATTTTAACCTCAACTATGGTAACTATAAAACAAGACAAAGTGGAAAAGAAAAGATTACTAGAAATAGGGTTGTAAGCATAAAGGGGTATTGCAAAGGAACTTATGAGAGAGAGAGAATCATCATGACATTAGTTAAAGAGTGACTGCCTTCGTTGTAGATGCTGAGTTGTTGATATAATTTAGGTACACAGGATAAGAATGTAAGGAGTGTTGAAAATCTAATGCATATTTGGTTTTGAGGACATTGGGAAGCAATAATGGCAAGAATAAGCATAAGTAAATACAATTATTTTCTAGTTGAAAAAGTAAGACATCGATATTTTGCCTTGTTGAGTTGAAAAAAATGAAGCCCCTGCTTCCTGATGCACGTTCTGGTGAAGACTGAAGAGAGTGAGCGATATGGCGAAAACTTAAACGAGTCCTAAGGCCTAAGCTTACCTGTTATATAGAGTACGTGATAGTGTTTACGCTATACAATTCTGTTCTTGGGGACTAAGAAAACATAGCATTCTTTTTGTGAATGCTAAATATGGTGACATTCATGTGAATTTGACGATGCTCGAGGAGCTGTAGAGGTTTAGTGAATGCTAAAGTAATTGGTTTTTCTACCTAGAAAAAACTGCAAACTGCACTTTCATTTTTACCTTGTGCTCTGTTCCAAAAGTAATGAACTAACCTGCTGAACACAGGAAATTCTGGAAGCTCGTGAGAAAGCTAAGTCCCACATTTGGACTTTTCGGACGCATGAACAAGCACAGTCTTACTGGCAGCAGGAATTCGGACATTTAGATGATAAGGATTGACAAATGCGGAAATGATTTAGAGCTTTCTTTGGAATTCTTTTAGCAGTATTACATCTTCATTGCTCCATTTCAAATTTTGTGTAATAGGTCTGAAATAAACTGTTATTAAGCCTGCACATTGTAGCTGAGTTTTCTTGTTTTTTCCTTGAGCTTCTGTTGTTACCTGAGCTAAGAATACATGACTCTTTTTGGCAAGAAGGAGCTGTTGATGGACTGATAAACTTCTGATTTGAACTTGTGAAAAATTCAATGACAAGCAAACTCTAGTTTAAATTCTCTATTACTTTCATTTATATCAAATACTTTGATTCTTTCTGCAGCCTTATTGAATTCATGCTATAGGTTTGGGGCATTGGAAGATTGCTTTTGTTCACTAGTTAAATGAGAGTAATAACCATTGAGTCGATACAAGGCCAGCCAGTGATAAACTTGGCTTGATCATCATATATTAGCAAATAACCGGTAAGTTGTGGCATCAATACTTATTTGTCTAACTGCTGCAACTGCTGCTATGACTCCCACTGCTGAGAAAACCACTGTAATGGTCATATTCAACCAAAAAATGGGACTCCGCTTTGATGGCTTAAATGTCAAGTTGAAGAAAACAACTGGTAAGACGAAGTCGAGGGGCAAGAAACCAAAAGCTCCAATGACTGAATTGATGTCTCCAAAAAATGGAAGCATTGCTGCAATTGTTGTTGCAATAACAACAGAAAATGATCGAGAAACTACCCTTGGGATAACATTACGCGCAGAGAACTCATTGAAATTTGGATCTGCAAATGTTCTTTCAAGCACTTCATTTGTTGGCTGCAAATAGACCTGTGACAGAAACCACATCACTGAATGAATGAACCAAATATGTGAATAATGAAGAAGATAGGGGGAAATGGAAGGAATGTTCTCACCACACCAACTGCTGATAGTTGGAGAATGGTGAAGACATTTGACATCAAGATGAACCATCTTGGCACCAAGGGTTTCCCATCCCCCAAGAAATTGCTGAGTACAAGACTTTGAGATTCATTGCCAAATGCCCAATAACCAGATATGGCAACAGTGAAGAAAGTCATGATAAGTACAGTGTAACAAATACATAACCCTTTGAACATCTTCCCCTTCACTGGTGGTGCAATAGTTGCCTGAAATCAAATTTATACACAAGTTTGTTACCTTTCCAGCATTACTTAAATCTGTTAGAGGAGTATTTTTGGGTCCAAAGAGCAAATTGATCTTTTTTTATTAGAGATTATCAACAGATAGTTATGAATACTTTTTATTTTTGGACCGATCTGATTATACAGTTTCACATCAACTCGGTTACATCACTATCATAGCCCATAAATGTACCTTTCACCTATAAATAGAGTCATCCAGGTACTATCTAATCTAATATAATTTTTTTTTTTCCTCTTCGTTCAACCTCTATTAGCTTACTTCTAATTTGAGAATTGGAACACAAGTGCAAGGAACACTCTTATCTTTACTCTTAACCGCTCTTTTTTTTTCTTTTTTTTCCTCTTCGTTGAACCTCTATTAGCTTACTTCTAATTTGAGAATTGGAACACAAATACAAGGAACACTCTTATCTTTACTCTTAACCGCTCTTTTTTTCTTATAATATCAATGTTTTTACCCCCAACTCGGGGCTTGGCATGAACAAAATCATTCCAAATTTTGATAGTTCATTGACATTGCAGTTGAAACTGAGGATCCGGCTGGAAAAATTATGGGAATTGAACAAGTTCAAACCTGAATTTCTGGAATGATACCATTGCCAAAAGTTGTGGCAATAATGGCAATGGCATTGAAGATCCCAAACAATCGGCTTTCTGTGTCACCTTTCAGGCTATAATCTTTCTTTGGTCCCTTTGAAGAATTCCCTGTAAAGATTAATCCAAATTAATTTTATCAAACTGACGATGTAGTGAGTTTGTGGTCTGCAGAATTACCTATATATATGGAACCAGCAGTTGCGCAGGCGCTATAAGCAAGGCTTAGAATCAAGGATATCAAGTTAATATGCCTCAGTGAGTGAAAAGATGGGATTTGAGCTAAAATCAGCATCAAGAAACCAAATATAATCACAAATTCGTAAAGCTTCATGCTTCCGTTTGGTTCTGATAGCAAGTAAATTGCCTGCCAAATTGGAAAAGAATTTGAAAATCTAAACCATTTAACTGTACTTCATAAGTGGCAACTTTAAAAATGGAAAAAAAAAAAATGTGGGACAAATTGGAGCTGACCTTCATGCATTGTCCTCCTAGAAGAGTGCAGCCAACTACAGCACCATAACAGACCATGAATTGAATTGGACCAACATAGAAGCGACCCCACCTTGGCCCTGAACAATATATGAAATTTAACAATAGTTATTAATCATTTTTTTGCCAAATATATATAGTTATCAAAGATTGAAAAGAGACAATAGAAATTAGATATGATAATTTCAAACATAATATAAAAATAATACGAATAAAAAATATTAAAATTTTAGTAAAAATTATAAATATGTTTAACAAAATAAAAAAATATTTTATATTTTTATATTAACACGAATTATGACACATAATTTTTGTATAAAACACGATACGAGTACATAAATTATCAATATTTTATATGATATTAATACATAAATTACAACATCTATCATAAACTAATTATTTGTAGCAAGACCTATGGGGTTTAATCATGCCACTAAGTGCCCATTTGGATTCCACCACACTTATATTACAGTTTGATTGAACTTATCACATCACTAATTAAATCTAAATGTTTGTTTTAATAAGATTAATTTAACATAAATTTTTATTAAAATGTTTATTCAATAACAATTATAATAATTATTATTATTATGTTTAATCTAATTACAGTGAATCTCATCATTCTCTCTGCTGAACGTAACTTCACAAACTAATCAAAAACATTACTGTTTTCCCAAATAAAACAGAGGCTCCTTGGAGTTGCCGAGTTGGTGGAGTCCAAGTGTGAAACACTTCCATCACGTTAACCTAATTTTTTTTGCACAAAAACCGTATGGTTTTTTTTTTTTTCCCATAAATCTACCAATGTCTAAACCGTAATAAAATTATCTTTGTCAATCTTTTCAAATGCTTTCGCAATTTCGCATCCAATATAATCCAATAAAATAACAGATTCGAATAAACACTTTAAAAAATAATATTAAATTATAAGTCATATGATCGAGATGCTAGATATTTGTATCATTAATTGTTTGCTATAAATTGAGATGAATTGTACGGTACCATATAAATTGAACCATTCATCCATTGACAAGTGTAATGGTCTTTAATGAGGTCTATTATTGAGGTGGCACATAGATATTGTGACCATGGATTTTGGCTAAACTTGATCATATGCATTTAAGTTCGTTCATTTGACTGCATAGCACACCTTAAATTGATAATGACAATTGCATTAATAATGAAAAGAAAGAAGCAAGGTTCTCAATTTTTTTTTATATAAGATGTTGTAATTAGAAAATTAAAAAATTATATATATTAAAATTTAAGTTTTAAATCTATTAAATATTACTATTAATTACATAATTTAATTGAATTAAAATTTATTAATCATTATATTTTTTATTTATCTCTTTCATTTCTTCATAAGAATAATTCTATATTATTCCATATTTGCATACTAAATATTAATTTGTTTTCAATTTCTCGACTTAATAACTAAAAATTTTGTTTCGAACTAAGATCCATTTCCTTATCAACTATATCGATCTTATGTAAAAAAAAAATTGTTAATCTAAAAATTTTAAATTCTTAAATTGATTTTTTTAAAGTATAAACATATTTATAGCAATATTAATTTCTGGTGCTTACCCATTATGTCATTGGCCATGTCTCTGAAACGAAGATGTCGACGACCCAATTGAGCATGGTGTTCAAGGACAAGAGACAACAAATTATAGGAATAGAAAGTGACCAAAGCTCCAATGACCAGACATAGAATTCCAGCAGCCCATCCGAGGAAGGTGAAAGCAAATGGGAGACTGAGAAGCGCCGGTGCAACAATTGATGTTGTCAAGTGGTAACCACAATGCACCCATGATCCTGTTCATTTTTTTTTTAACACACACGTTATCAACAACATTAAGAAAATCAAACTCTGCGGCTCTCTTGGCTGTTATATACACTTCAGGTTTCCTGTTTTCTAATAAAATATTTTTATAATTCATATTGTCCGAATCTTATATTTATTAACGTCAATTTTAAAAAATGATCGCATGAATCGAATTAAGCTAAGAATTATTAAATTTTATGGATTTGTGATAAGATATGAGGTAAAACTCTGAATCAATATTGAAGTTGGAAAGGAAAACAAAAAAGAAAATAAGTTATATATACAAGACAAAAGGAGAGAGTTGGATTATTAAAGAGAAAGCTTAAAGCTAGGATAGAAGATGATCTTGTTCTTCTGCTCCCTCTTTGGGTTCAGCTTCTTTTGGATTCATGAATTTAATTACTTTATATAAAAGATAAGGAGGAAGAAGAAGAAGATCAGGAGAAAGGATAAAAAGGGCCAGAAAAAGATAGAAAAATTGATCATGTTGAAGATTTATTTTCTTGCAAAGCAATGTTAATGATTTATGATTTGGATGGGAAGGACAAGGAAGATAATACCTTTGGATTTAAGAACAAAGAGAGCTCCAGCATCAAGCTCCTTTTGTTGTTCAGAAACCTGCTTGACTTGATCATCTTTTCCAGCTGCATGCACTGCTATGGTGCTTGAAGCCAAAGTACTCATATCCCTCTTTATCTCTTAGTATAGCCACCAAACAAGACGGAAGAACAAAATGATGGGGTGGAATTGAAGTCCCCAAATGGAGGAACTATAAAGTCTAAAGTCAACAAGGCTACATCTACCTTTGAGAATGCTGATGCTAGCTGCTGCTGACCTGTTGCTTGATGCCCCTTACTCTTTTCATTTTATTTTATTTTTATTTTTGTATGACACTTTTGTTGTGTGAAAGCAAAGGCTTACTTAACATTCAAAGTTTCAATCTTTGAAAGGAGATCATGAAAATTCAAATGGCCAAACCATCTAGCATTTCCTAGAGCATATTATCTACCATCATTGTACGATAATTAATTAATCACAATTTTAAATTATATAAATTTATCAAAATTCTAAATAAAATTTATTTTTATAAATAATATACTTTTATATAATTTTTTATTATAACTAAATAATTATAAAATATATTAAATAAAATATTTTTTATATACTAATATTCAAGATTCTAACAAAAGTGATAAAGAACAAATTCTAAGTATTAATTCAGATTCGAATCTCTTCACAATTGATAAACGATATATAAATTTAAAAATTTCATAAATAAAAATATAATAAATTCGTAAATTGAGTTAACGGTTTATCATTTAAAAAAAATTTTCTGCATTTAATGTTCATAAAAGGGTGTTGGTTCCGGTCATTGATTTTTCTTGACAAACATCTCCATATCTGGGTCCCCTTTGACAATTTTAGCCACATGAACATTTGAGTGGTACATATCTATTTATTTATTATTTTATAGTATTAATTTTACAGTAAGTGTATAAAATAATAATTCTTAATGTAATTAATCGAACGGTCATAATCAATTATTTGAACGGCGCAAAAACAAAATTACAATTGATATTCATGATCAAAATTTCACGGGACAAATTCAAAGTCGGATTATGTAAAACAAAGATATGGTTAAATTCTTTGCATATGGAACATATTGCAAGAGAAACTATATGTATTACTATATATGGGACTTCATGTGTGCACAAAGATAAACTAATCAATAATTAATCAGATCAGCTGTCATGGGATTTCATAGGATATTGTATGCATCAGCAATCGGGGAATGACAGATCACAGGCATTACATGAGCTGTAATTGTACCTATAAAGAATTCAAACACTGCAATATTAATTTATGACAGCAAATCTGTACGAGATTTTGTCAATGATACAGATAAATTTATGGGTTAGCGAGCACGAGTCACGGCGGAACTTCAGTTCAGGCCACATTACTTAGCCCAAGCCCAAGTCAAAATGGAATGTACCGAATGAGTTAGGGGTCAATAGATCATAGTCCACTTTAAGATTTCAATGGACCATTTGACCTTGCCCTAATCCCATTTTTTTTTTCTCTCCAAAGGAAAACAGAGGTCAGCGATTTATGCATACCTTTTCGAATCTGCCCATCTTCCAATATCAAAAACAAGTTACAAGTTGCAGATAATATTGTAGTATGCATACTTTTTAGAATCAGTACGGTCCTCTGTCAGATTTCCAATTAAGGCTGAAAAACAGTTTAAAATTTTACTAAAAACTGTATATATATGGCAAAAATATATATATATATATATATTTGATATATATGCACCAATTGTTATACAATAATTTTCATATTTTATATAAAACAAGCAGATACAAGAATTGCAAGATATAGAGCTAGCTAGTTGCAGATAATTAGGTCCAATCCAATTGCATTGAAAAAGAATCATGCACCAAAGATAACAAAAATGCATTTTTGCAATGAAGATATCAAATAGTATCCTGAAAATATGGAATTCTTATAATCTGTCCTGTGATGGATTACCAATTCGAGAGGTACAGCTTTTAGGTTGCTATCAATGTATCTCTTTTTATCGTTTGACAACAGCCTCGTTTGTTTTCATTCCCAAAAAAAGTACCATGATTTGCACATCTTAGGAACTCAACATGTTAATATTTGTTTTTTTCTTCCCCCTGATGAACATGGGTGAAAAGGGACAACAAATCATGGAAAATCCTGTCTCAATATGACAATAGGAGCTGGGGTTTCAAATCAATTTCAATAAAAGAACATTGAAAAACAAGCCAGTAAACCTATCTCTTTGAGAGGTGAGTTTGGACTGAAAATAATCAAATGAAAGCTTTTAAAAAACTTGGTTTTCATGTGTTTGCAATTATTATTATTATTATTATCATTAATTTTATATTTGGAATTTTTTTTTATTCTTAATTTATTTTTAAATTTGTTTATTCTGTTACATACGTGGTTGAAAAAAATATTATTCGTTTATGTTTTTTCGAATTTATAATCTCTAAGTACTAACTCCGATTACATATTAATTGATTCAAATGATAGTTGGTAATTTTCTATCTGGAGTTGATTCGGTTGAACAAGCAAAAAAAGCATAACTAACAAACGCTAATTGTGCCATTATTATCGCTTATTTATCCAAAAAAACATTTACGAAACAAGGCACTAAGGCAGCACTGCCCGGTTTCATTTTCAGAAAATCGAAGTGGGGGCATTTCATGGCTGATTTTGATGATATTTTTGCCCTCCTCCTTAACTGTCTCTGACTTTGGTACATTTGGTCTGATTTTATGTCTTAACAAAACATATAAATGTCGCAAATAAAAATTAAAAAGCTATTACTGATAAAATTTTGTCGGCAAAATTCTGTATAATTTCTTGCTGATTGATTAATGTTGTCTGGTCTATGACCAGATTTGCCGGTGTTATAGACCACTAAACCCCCAGATGAAGAAAAAGCAAGAGAAGGAAAAAGGAAATTTGATAAACAATGCATGATTAATTAACTTTTATTTCTTTTTCATATGATGTTGATACGGTATCTTTGAATGCGTGCTTAAGTTGGAGTTGATGGAAATTCCACTTACAAATTAAATTTTAGTATCGTATTTGGTAGGAAAGCATTTTTATTGGTATCAGGTATATTTTAACGATCATCTCATCGACATCTTGACCGAGATTATTAATATTCACATATGATCTCAAGACAGATATTTATTTATTCAGTTAATCACATTATTCTTCATAAAATATAAAAGAAAAAACCAAATTAGGCGTGTAACTATTTTCAACATTTTACATTACTCTCTCTATTCTCTTTTGCTATATTGACTTTTCTCGGACTTTTTTTCCTTTTCCTCGAACACTTGATTGATTTTAACAGGGGTTTGGATCCTATCTCATTTTTTGTACAATATAATTAAGTTTATTGTATCATCATTTGAATTTAAATGTTAATATTAATGAAGTTCGTTCAACATAAATTTTTTTATAATTTTTTTTCAATCACAATTACAATAATTATTTTTTTTAATTGCAATCAAAACTCAACCTCTGAGCTCACATGGCTCCAGGACGCAATCATGCACTCATTCGATATCTCAGATCAGTCTAATAGTTATGGTTCACATTATTGTGAGGTATTATCCACTCTAATTCTTATTGGTCTTACAGTTTTATCCCACAAAAAAAACTTCACAATGAGAAGGCAGTGTAAACTTTTATATCCCAAAATTAATTTTAATACTCAATCAACGTGGGATTTCTAATTTTGTTTCAAGATTGTGATATCTTTTTCCATTTCAACGAGGGTCTATAATCTTTGGTGGTACATCACTAGTACCTCAAAAGCTGACTTTGTTATCACTTATCACGAGTCGAAACTCAAACTCTAAGCTCATGAAGTTTTATAATACGAGCATGCATTTATCTAACGTTTCAAATCAACTTAACGATTATAGTTCATATCCTTATGAGGTATTGTCCACTCTGATATCTTTTTGATATCATAATTCTATCTACAAAAGACACATCACAAAGTAGAGTTATTATGGACCTTTATATTGTAAGATCAACTCTAATACTCAATAGATACGAGAATTTTTATTTTATTTTAAGATTGCGACATACTATATTTAATCTTACTGTTCATTTAAATGCATCTTTACCTTGAGAACGCATCCTGAAGTTTTAACCTAAGTGCTCTCTGACTTTTTATATTTGACAAGTCTGATACGTTAATCAACCCAGCCTCCAACTAGTCCAATTCTCATTGAACCCAGAAAGTGTATCAAAAGTAACAATCAATTTCTCCTGAAAATGCCTCAGCTTATTACGTATAATAAAATAAAATTTTATAATATAATTTAAAGCTTAACAAAAATACTATCTAAGAGAAGGCGTGCTGATAAAAAAATTTTTATTTGTTCAAGAAGATGGAGGATAATGTGATAAGGGCCAATACTTAGCGTAAATTATGGAGCCAATAATTTGTAGATTATTATTTTTGCAACATTTATAAAGGGATGGCATCTGCTTTTTAAAGAAATTAAGAGAAACTTTAAAAAGCAGTAAAGTAGGTCAGTATTTGCTTAAAAGAATACAATTTAGAAGATTGAAAAAGTGGCATCTATTGGACTAAAAAATTGTAGCAAATGTTGGGGCTGAAGAAGGAAATTTGCATATGGGATTGGAAAGAAGGAATTGTATGGAAGAGACTCAGAAAAGGATCATAGGCTGATATGCAGCATAAATGAAGATTGAGCATGAAGAAAAGAAAACAAACTTGGAATAAAGCAATTAAAAAGAAAAGCTCTTTAAATATTCAAAGTAGGTTGGAGAGGAAAAAGTGGGAATTCAGAACTGTTTCAAAGGATTCATCTCTAATTATTTCATATATATCTATGTTTTCTTTTAAAAAAAAATTATAAATGTTAAAATTTAAAAATGATTGCATAAATTTATTGAATTAATTTATAAATTTACAAATTTTTATATTTAAAGATTAAGTATCATTCCCAAAAAAATTATTACTTATTACAAAATTTTTAAATTTCATAACAATTGACACCTTTTCATTTAATAATTATATTCATTAATTTATTTAATTATTATAGGATCAACAATTTGGACTGGTAAAAGTCACAAATTTTATCATTTTTCAATTAGAGAGGAGCTTTCACTAACAAAAAATTAATTTTTATTAATGAAATTTTTCGTTGATAAAAATT